CGCCCTGAGCGCTGCCACGCGGAAGCGAGGCGGGCGTGGCCCACGGGAGCCCGGACCCTCACCAGCAGCAGAGCCGCGCTCAGCCGGGCGGCAGAGGCGGCCGTCACAGATCCGCGCGGATCACAGATCGCTCCGGGCAGCTTCTCTTGCAAAATCCTGGGCCGCAACCACCCAGGGGGTGTGGGGGGCGGAGCCGCGGCGGGAGGGAGCATGTCTGATCTTCAGGTGAAAGGAGGCTTTATAAATAGGTCACCTTGTTCCACATCCTGAATTTCGTTCTTTCCTCGTCTTGGGTCAAAACAATGGTTTTACTGTTCTGGGGTCAGTGGGACGGAGGGACGCGCCGAGGGGGAACTGGGCGCAGAGGAGGCGAGTGTGTCTGCCTCTCCTGTGTGCCCGCCCCACCCCGCTCCATGCATTTGTCACCGTCACCCTGGATGTGCCGCCGGTACCCACACAGAGTGCTGCACTTCGGTGAACGTTCTCTTAAACAACAGAACAAAAGGATCGTTTTTGTAGGCGGGCCCCGGTGAATGAGCTGAAGGGACCCCACGGAGCTCCAGGCAGGTGCTGAGCCCAGGGTTGAAATTCCTGCCCCTCTCCAGTCACTGCCCGCACCCCACCCCGCCCCCAGGTCCCTGCCCCCTGCCCAGCCTGCAGGGTGGAGCCCGGCCCGCTGTCCCGCCATGGCGGCTGGGGTTTGGTTCCCCAGCTCGTTTCTTGTGTGGGGCCCGTGGAGACAGACGGCGATCCCGCTTCTACTGGGCAAATTAACATTTGTGAGTTAGAAACAGCGTCACTGGGCATCTTGGGAGAAATCGCTGTAGAAGTAACGCCCCCCTGTGGGATGGTCCCAGAGCTCCCGCTGGGAGTGTTGACCTTTAGTTTCCCTGCCCGTGTCAGCTGCGGACTCGGTGTGCGTCTCGGTGGGTAAATGAACATGGATCCCCCGCTCGGTTAAAAGACGCGACGCGGCGCACGCGGGGAGCCTTCAGGAATCACGTTGGTGGCAACTTGTTCTTAGGAACAGGGCGTGTTAAATCCATATTTTTCAGCCCTTTATTCCTTTTGGTGTGCTTAACCATCATCGTCATGACTATGCGAGTAATATTTGGATTTTTTAAAGTTTTTGCATTTTTAAAGTAAGTGTTTGAAAGTGAACTGCGTCCCTCCTTTTCCTCCCCCGCTTCTCCCCCCTCCCCGCCCCAGCCTCCAGGGTAAACTATTGTGAACGGTCTGGTGTTTGTGCTTCTAAACCCCTCCCTCCACCTACAAACAGATACAGGCACAGAGAGAATTTTCTTTTCTTTCTTTTTTTAAAATATATTTTTATTGATTTCAAAGAAGAAGGGAGAGGGAGAGGGAGAGAGAGATAGAAACATCAATGATGAAAGAGAATCCTTGATCAGCTGCCTCCTGCACGCCCCCCGCTGGGGGTTGAGCATGCAACCCGGGCATGTGCCCTTGACCGGAATCAAACCTGGGACCCTTCAGTCCGCAGGCTGATGCTCTATCCACTGAGCCACACCAGCTAGGGCGAGAGAATCTTCTTAATTCTGTTCATACAGAGATGGGATCACGCTCTGCATCCTGTTCTCCAAGTTGCTTTTCAAAACGCGAGCATCACGTTACACTTTATGTGACGTCAGCACATGGGAGGGGCGGCCTCCTCCTCTGTGCGCGGCTGCAGGTCTCCCGGGCCGGAGCTCCCGGGTCGGTGCGTGTCTTTGCCCACGTGCCCCTGCGCGGGGTTCTAGGGTTTCCCAGACCCTGGCAGAGCGGTTGGCGGGGGGTCGCTGCGTGTGTTACGCCTGGATGGCACCTGCAGGCCCAGAAGCATGTCCCGATGTGGGGGTCTGTCTCTGTCTGGGACACGCCCACCCCTGTCCCTGAGAGGCATCCCCACATCCTCTCAGGTCCCTCGACCTTTTTTAACCCCGTGGGTCCCACATCCCGTCCCCTCGCCGTCCTCAGCCAGCATCCCTTCTCTCCACGACGTGTGTAGTGAAAGCAGTGGGTGTGTCCAGTAGGCGTCTCCACCCCTTTGTGTCAGGAGCGACTCTCTGCCTCAGATCATTAAAGGCCGGGCCCCCCACACCAGGTCTCAGCCCCGCACAGTGAGCTTGGGACGCCTCTGACTCTCCTCGCCGTCGGGGATCAGGGGATCAGCATCCGGTTCTGGGCTTTCTTCCCTGCGCCTCCAAGTCCGCACCTGCTGCCCCTCCACCTGAGGGCACAGAGGGTCCCGCTGGAGAGACTAGAGGGAAGGGGTTTGTGGGTGCTGCTCTTCCCTTCTATGGGGAGCGGTGGCCCCCGCAAACCCCCTCGAAGCAGGCCTTTGAGATGCGAGCGCTGATCCCGGGCCCCAGACTGAGCCCACGCTGGGAGTCGGCACTGGGAGGAGGGAGGAGGCTTTGGGGCGCTCCTGGGTCCGCCTGGAATACATGATGGGCAGGTGGCTCTGGTGGATGCAGGGACGGGGCGGGGGAAGGCTTTGCCTAAGAGGCACCTCCTTTCACAGTGCGCCATGAAGTGGCTTTGACTCAGGTGGATGATGTGTGTGACATCAGTGGGGTGGGGTGGGGTGGGGGTTCTCAGAGGGGAAAACCATAGCGCTCAGTGGACTCTGAGAGCAGATGTCCCATCCCCTCTGTCCCAGGGCTTTTGATCGCGTTCACTCTATTGTAGGTAAATGCAACATGTGGAAGGCCTGCCACGCTTCTCGTGATGTGTGTGTGTGTGTGTGTGTGCCCATGTGTGTGTGCACCCATGTGTGTTTCTGCACCCATGTGTGTGTGCCCATGTGTGTGTACCTGTGTGTGCGCCCATGTGTGTGCGCCTGTGTGCACGCGCCCACCCGTGTGTGTGCCCATGTGTGAGCACCCGTGTGTGTGCACCGTGTGTGAGCGCCCATGTGTGTGAGTGCCCATGTGTGTGAGCACCCAGGTGTGTGTGCACCCCTATGTGAGTGCCCATGTGTGCGTGCATGGCTGTGTGTGATATGCGTGGGTAGTGAGGGCAGCAGCATGGCCAGCTCTGTCCCCACCCCTCCCGTCCCAGCCCCACGGGGCCATATTCAGACACACTGCGACGTTGTTGCTTCTGGGCGGGGACAAGGGCTGTGCCCTCCCACCTGGTGAAGAGCCATCGCAGGCCCTGGCAGTCCTGTAGCAGCACTAGGCCCCGTGAGGCCGGGCACCTGCATGTGCCTCATGATGGCAGAGGAGGCTGGTGCGGAGCTGGGGTGGTGCCCGCTGGGACGCCCGTGGGTCAGTGTTAACAGGTGCGTTACAGACCAGACCAGTATCTCAATGGCTCCTCACAGAACAACCCCTGGCTCTGAAGGGACCCTCAACATGATCTATTCTAGCTCCACATCTAAGCACCCGGGTCCCAGCCCAAAGCAGCGTCCACCTGCAGGACCAGGTGCAGTGACCAAGACGAGGGGTAACGGCGACCTCTGTTTAGTGCACGGAGCACGGGTTAGGGGGAAAGTAACATGGCCGTGTCCCCGGTCCTCTCCGGACACTGACTCCATGGAGTCTTGGGTGAGCGTGGAACACCCACCTTTCAGAGGAGCAAACAGAAGCTCGGAAGAGCTAAGGGCGAGTCCTAGCCAGTGGCCAAGCCGCTGTTGGGGTGCGTGAGCTTCCCCAAGGGTTGGAAGCCCCGGAGCAGGGCCGGCAGAGAGGAGTCGGGGGACGGAAGCATCCTGCCCACGGCATCCCCCGGAAGGGGGCTAGTGGAGTGCCTGGGGGACACGCAGAGGGCAGGTCGCATTGAAACCCACGGAAAGAGGCGGGCAGCCGGATGGCTCCGGGGGCCCTGCCAGGACGCGGCTGGGTGTGGACAACGGGAAGGCGGTGAGAAGGAAGTGTTGGCTTTAACCGTGGCCTGGACACAGGGTAGAGGCCGGCAGGTGACAGTGAGTAAGAGTGGCCCTGGGGTTGCCGCAGCGACGGACCACCTGGGAGGTGACTCAGATGGCGGGAAGCAGCAGCGTGGGTGGCCCATATCCCCTGGCTCTGCCCTGGGGCACCCTCTTCGGGAATCACCCAGGATGCTTCCTCCCAGAGATTCCCGGCTCAGGGTCAGGAGGTCCGGGCGGGCAGGGCCTCCCTCCCAGATGGCTCCTAATCGCGGGTCCCAGGGGGCAGGAGCTTAGCACCGAGGCGGTCAGAGGACTTGCTTAGCACCAGCCTCCAAGGCGGTGGGCCCTCAGAGCAGGAGGAGCTGGGGGGCTGACCTGGACAGACAGATGGCCGTCCCTGTGGGGTCCTGCTGTCTCTCTGGTCACCGGGCCTGAGGCTGGACTGGCCTGCTTTCCTGCTGCGGCCTTGGCAGGGGAGACGATGGGCAGGGCCCTCAGTCTAGCTCGGGCTTGGCCGGCCACGCACCGCCTGTTCTTGTAAATAAAGTTTTATGGGAACCCAGCCGTGCTCCTTTGCTTACGTGGCGGCCTTGGTGCGGCAGGCAGAGCGGCTCTGGCATGGGGACTGCCGGTCCGCAAAGCCCGGTCCGCAAAGCCCGGCGTTTACTCTCCAGCACGTTACAGGCCCAGGGGCACTGGCCTGAGGGCTCCCTTCCTCTCTCCTTCCTTCCCTCCCTCCTTCTCTCCCTTTCTCACCCCTTTCCCACTTCCCACCTCTCATCCTCCCTGTTGTGGTCCTTCATCCCTCTCCATCCCCACCAGTTTCTCTGAAGTGTTTTAAATGAATGTGCTGGAAGGACTTCTCCCCACAGCCCCCCCCTCCCCCCAGCCAATGTCACCTGTCGCCATGGTCTCCCCACTGCCATCCTCTCCCACAGCACCCCCCCCCCCCCCCGCCCAGTGTCACCCGTCACCATGGTCTGGGAGGGACCTTCCTCAGTGAGATTCTGGGGGGCCTTCCTGCTGGGATGACAGAGCCCAGAACAGGGCGATTGCTGCTCTGCTCCAAGAGGCAGTCAAATGAACTGTCTTAGGAAGTTAATTTTCTCCTCGTCCTCCCAGAGAGCAGACCCGTGTCCCCACCCGGTCCTGCAGAGGGGTCACTGGGCACCGGCAGAGGGGGGTGTCCACACAGAGGGGGTGTGGGTGCTTCTGACTGAGACCCGCCTTCCCCAGCTCAGAGGATGCTCGGATGGAGGTTGGGGGGCATCCGCAGGCCAGTCTTGGGGGTCACTGGGACCACGTTTCCACACCCAGCCTCAGGCTCTCCCACCCTCGCAGGCTGGCAAGCCCGCCCCGAAGCCATGGGGTGCGCCCTCAGGGGGGCCGTAGCGGGGTCCTGGAGGTGTCCGTGTCTCTCAGGGGTCGATGGGACTGAAAGCTTGAAATGGGTTGTCCTGGGAGATCCAGGATGGGAGGTCTCCGGGGTCTCCATAGGCACAGAACTTTCTGGAACCAGGTGGTCCCCCAGCTGCAGAAGGACGCCTCAGCTCTGCACCGGCTTTGCAGGCATCTGACACAAGGGGTCCCCCAGCCTGTCTTGGAAGAAACGACTGGGAGGGGGAGAAGCAGGGCCTGCCGCTGAGACACGGGGTCTGAGCCACGAATTCTCTCGCCCGGAGCCAGCCTCCAGCAGGCCTGCCTGTCCCAAAGGAAGACCGTCTCCCGGTCTCCTCCCAGCGCAGGGCCAGCTCCGGGCGGCTGGGGGGCCTTGGGAGCGCCCAGCCCCTCGCACGCCCCTCCTCTCCTGGCCCTGCTGGTCCCAGGCAGCACAGGACGGTGGTCCCGGGTGCCCAGCCACCCTGGCCCCCGCCCTCGGGCCCCGCAGGCGCTGTCTTTGCTTCCGGTGGGAAAGCAATGAGCCCACTGCAAAGGGAGCCCTGCAGCCCCCTCCCGGCTCCCCGGTGTTCCCTTCGTCTCAGGCACCTCAGTGCTGCTCAGAGCGAGGGACTGAGGGACCCTGTTCCCGGCAGCCAGGCGCCCAGGGCCTCTGGCCGGCCCCTCTGCAGACGCGTGGAGTGAGGTTCACAGAGCCAGGAGCCTGCCTGCTCCCTCGTCCTGGGAGCCCACCCCCCACCGGGCAGCCAAGAGTCCCCCCGCAGGCCCAGAGGGAGCTCAGGAGCCCAGTCCCTGTGACTGTCCCTTCTTCAAGGCGGACACGGGGGACGGCACGGGGGACGGCAGGGCAGGTTGTTGAGTCCCCCGGCCCCACGTGTCAGCCCCTCCTCCCGCTGAGCCCCCTGATGGAGGGGGTGGCGCAGAGGCAGTGAGGTCTCTCCTCCCAGAACCACCTGCCCTCCCTTAAAGGAGCCAACGGCTGGAGCAGCCAGAGCAGGATCGAGGGGTCTTGGAGTCGGACTTCCTCCCAGATGGTCTGCTGGAGCCCGAGGAGCCAAACGCTGGCTTCTGGTTGAAGGAAAGGTGGGGTCATCCAAGTGCTGGCCCAGAATGCTGGGCGGCGGGTGAGGCTCTCATGCCCACCTGGCAGGGGCTGCCTCAGGGGCCTCCAGAGAGCGTCATTGGCACCCCAGTCCAGGCACCACGCGGATGTGGGACCTGCTGGGGGGGCTGCTGCAGGCTCAGGGCCCGCGAGCAGAGAGCCCCGGGCTGAGCGCCCTCGCCGACCGGGAGTTACGTTGCTGCGTAGCCCCGGCCCCCTCCCTGGCGTGAGCCCGAGGCCTGTGGGAGGCGGCTGTGCTGGGAGAGAGCGGCTGGGAGGTGGCGTCTCAGGGCTTTGCCTCCTGAAGCAACAGGCATGGGAGTAAGCGCCCCCTTGCTGGCTGGCACCAAGGAAGATGCCCACCGCCGGGGCTGATTCCAGGATCCGTGCCAACCGGGCCTTCTGCCCCGAGAAATCACGATCAGGTACATGGTGCACCCGACACCGCGGAGCATCTCACCGCCGTTCCGGAGCCTTCTCTCCCGGCGACTGCCAGGCTGGGGCCTCTCCCTTAGGACAGCTCAGCTGGGGACAGGGCGGGGTTCCCTCTGTGCCAAGGCCCCGGCCAGCCCGTGTCGGGTGTGATGGGAGCCCAGAGCCAGGCCGCGGGGAACGGGTCGGTGGCAGCCCGTCGCTCTGGCCCTGGCCTGCCTGGTGGACCTCCTCCCCTCCCCCCACACCCTGCTCACCGGTCCGGTTTCTCTTTCCACCCGGCAGGCAGCACGGACCTCGCCACCGCGTGCAGAGGCCGCCTCGCAGCCTCGGGAGAAGAGGCCGGGCCATTGATGCGTTTGCCTTGGGCGTCGGGGACGCCGTGAAGCAGGAGGCGACCATGGGTCAGAAGGTCACCGGAGGGATCAAGACGGTGGACATGAGGGACCCCACGTACCGGCCCCTGAAGCAGGAGCTCCAGGGCCTGGACTACTGCAAGCCCACCCGCCTGGAGCTGCTGCTGGACATGCCGCCCGTGTCCTACGAGGTGCAGCTCCTCCACTCCTGGAACAACAACGACCGCTCCCTCAACGTCTTCGTCAAGGAGGACGACAAGCTGATCTTCCACCGGCATCCGGTGGCCCAGAGCACGGACGCCATCAGGGGCAAGGTCGGGTACACGCGGGGGCTGCACGTGTGGCAGATCACGTGGGCCATGCGGCAGCGGGGCACGCACGCCGTGGTGGGGGTGGCGACGGCCGACGCCCCCCTGCACTCCGTCGGCTACACGACCCTCGTGGGGAACAACCACGAGTCCTGGGGCTGGGACTTGGGGCGCAACCGGCTCTACCACGACGGCAAAAACCAGCCGAGCAAGACTTACCCGGCCTTTCTGGAGCCGGACGAGACGTTCATTGTCCCCGACTCTTTCCTGGTGGCCCTGGACATGGACGACGGGACCCTGAGCTTCATTGTGGACGGACAGTACATGGGCGTGGCTTTTCGGGGACTCAAAGGCAAAAAACTGTATCCTGTCGTGAGCGCCGTCTGGGGCCACTGTGAGATCCGCATGCGCTACTTGAACGGACTCGACCGTAAGTGTCTCCTACACCCTCCCAGGCGGCCCCGCCCCCGGCCTCCTGTGTCCGTGGGATCCTGGGTGGGCCTGGCCAGGCGTCTGTGAAGTCCTTGGGGTTACAGTGTCTTTCAGTAGACATCCCAGCATCCTCAGAGGCGACGCTTGCTTGCCTCTGGTTAAATGAAAAGTTCTCGCTGGAATCTGCCGGCCAACCTGGCAGCACCTCGTGGATGAACGAACGGGTGGTTGGATAGATAGGTGGATGGCAGGTTGGATGGCTGGATGGCTGGATGATGGATGAGTAATGAATGAGTAGGTGAGTGGGTTAGTGGGTGGATGGATGAATGAATGGATGGGTGGGTGGGTGGGTGGGTGGATGGATGGTGAATAAATGAATAAATAAATGGATGGATGGTCTTTGATAGATGTAGTGTGTTGCCGGTTGGCCTGCCTTTAGAATTTGCAGTTGACCGAATTCTAGCACAGCAGCAGCGTATTGTTGAGCTGGGGTTTGTGGCGGTGGCGGTACTAGGTCCTGTCACATAACTGTACTCACATAGTGGTGAGCCAGTGGCCGCTCTCACCCATGAGGGTCTGTCTCCTGTGCTGGCGGCTTCTGGTAGGCGCCTATGGACACAGTCCCCGGAGGGGGCTTGTTCAGTCGTGATGTCAGGAGGCCTTGGAGAGACCGTGGGTTAGAGACCCTGAGTCAGCAGCAGTTCCCACCTGTCCCTTTGGACAGGGGCGTGGCCTTCCTCAGACCGAGTGTGAGAAGAACTCTAATGAGGTGGCACTGTCCTAGTTTGGAGATGGAGGGCTTTGTGGCTGCCTGGCTGGGGGCCCAGGGGCGTAGGAGGTCCTGGAACTCGGGACTGTCCACCCCCACGCTTGACCCTCCCTCTCTCATGGGTCCCTTCTCCCATCTGCAGATCTCACCTTGCAACAGGGTGGGCCAGAAAGCTTCAGCCACCCATGCACTAACCGTCACTGAGGGACAGGTTTGGCCTGGTACCCCGAGATCTAACCCCCGCCGCAGATCAGATGCTGGGTGAGGCCCCAGGTGTGAGGGGCACAGGTGCTGGGTGAGGCCCCAGGTTCAGGGGCACAGGTGCTGGGTGAGGCCCCAGGTTCAGGGGCACAGGTGCTGGGTGAGGCCCCATGTTCAGGGGCACAGACGCTGGGTGAGACCCCAGGTTCAGGGGCACAGATGCTGGGTGAGGCCCCAGGTGTGAGGGGCACAGGTGCTGGGTGAGGCCCCAGGTGTGAGGGGCACAGATGCTGGGTGAGGCCCCCAGGGGTGAGGGGCACAGATGCTGGGTGAGGCCCGCAGGTGTGAGGGGCACAGATGCTGGGTGAGGCCCCAGGTGTGAGGGGCACAGATGCTGGGTGAGGCCCCCAGGTGTGAGGGGCACAGGTGCTGGGTGAGCCCCCAGGTGTGAGGGACACAGATGCTGGGTGAGCCCCCAGGTGTGAGGGACACAGATGCTGGGTGAGCCCCCAGGTGTGAGGGGCACAGATGCTGGGAGAGGCCCCCAGGTATGAGGGGCACAGATGCTGGGAGAGGCCCCCAAGTGTGAGGGACACAGATGCTGGGTGAGGCCCCCAGGTGTGAGGGGCACAGGTGCTGGGTGAGGCCCCCAAGTGTGAGGGGCACAGATGCTGGGTGAGCCCCCAGGTGTGAGGGGCACAGGTGCTGGGTGAGGCCCCAGGTGTGAGGGGCACAGATGCTGGGTGAGGCCCGCAGGTGTGAGGGGCACAGATGCTGGGTGAGGCCCCAGGTGTGAGGGGCACAGATGCTGGGTGAGGCCCCCAGGTGTGAGGGGCACAGGTGCTGGGTGAGCCCCCAGGTGTGAGGGACACAGATGCTGGGTGAGCCCCCAGGTGTGAGGGACACAGATGCTGGGTGAGCCCCCAGGTGTGAGGGGCACAGATGCTGGGAGAGGCCCCCAGGTATGAGGGGCACACAGATGCTGGGAGAGGCCCCCAAGTGTGAGGGGCACAGATGCTGGGTGAGGCCCCCAGGTGTGAGGGGCACAGGTGCTGGGTGAGGCCCCCACGTGTGAGGGGCACAGATGCTGGGTGAGCCCCCAGGTGTGAGGGGCACAGGTGCTGGATGAGGCCCCAGGTATGAGGGGCACAGATGCTGGGTGAGGCCCCCAGGTGTGAGGGGCACAGATGCTGGGAGAGGTCCCAGGTTCAGGGGCACAGGTGCTGGGTGAGGCCCCCAAGTGTGGGGGGCACAGATGCTGGGTGAGCCCCCAGGCGTGAGGGGCACAGGTGCTGGATGAGGCCCCAGGTGGGAGGGGCACAGGTGCTGGATGAGGCCCCAGGTGTGAGGGGCACAGGTGCTGGATGAGGCCCCAGGTGTGAGGGGCACAGATGCTGGATGAGGCCCCAGGTGTGAGGGGCACAGGTGCTGGATGAGGCCCCAGGTGTGAGGGGCACAGATGCTGGGTGAGGCCCCCAGGTGTGAGGGGCACAGATGCTGGGAGAGGTCCCAGGTTCAGGGGCACAGAAGCTGGGTGAGGCCCCAGGTTCAGGGGCACAGGTGCTGGGTGAGGCCCCAGGTTCAGGGGCACAGGTGCTGGGTGAGGCCCCATGTTCAGGGGCACAGACGCTGGGTGAGACCCCAGGTTCAGGGGCACAGATGCTGGGTGAGGCCCCAGGTTCAGGGGCACAGACGCTGGCTCTGGTCTTGCAGTCTCCATGCCTTCAGGTCTGTGGGGAGGCGGGGAATGCACTGGGGAGTGGGTTGTGGAGACCTGCTGGGTGAGCTGGACCCTGGTGGAGACTGGCAGTGCCCGTGGCCTAACCCCCCCTCTTGGTTAACGATGAGCTCCCCCGCCGTCCACACCGGTCATCACGCCAGTCACTCCCAGTCCTGGTCAGACATGAGTGGCCCCGCTCTGCACGGCGTAGACTTTGGGGGATCCAGATGAGGAAAACGTGAGGGCGTTGCGCGTCCTCCGCCGCTGCACCTGTGGGGGGAGGAGGGGGTGACCGTGCTAGAGCTGCCAGCCTGCCTGCTTACTGACACCTGGGTTCTGCATTAAGAGAGCAGCTCGTCCTAGAAGAGTGACCGCTGGGAGGCCGGGGGGGGCTGTCCAGGGGAGAGGCGATGGGGCTAGAGCTCCCTCGCCGTGTCCAGGTGGCTCTGTAAGTCTGGAGACAGGGTCTGGGACAGGGGTCAGTGGGGAGTCGCCTATGGCTGGGTGGTGTTTAGAGCTGTGACCACTGCCTGGGATCCCCTCGGGGGAGGGGGGGAAGGGGGGGAGGGCTGAGGCTGAGCACTGGGGCACATCAGTGCTTTGAGGTCCGGCGGACGAGGGGCTGGAGGGGAGAGAGGTGTCCTGGATGCCAAGCAAAGAAAGGACTTCGAGAAGGACAGAGTGATGCCAGGTCGAGTGTGCTGACGGCTGAGAGCTGTCCATCAACTTTGGCAATAGGGTGATCACTGGAGGCCTTGATAAGAGTCACCTGGGTGGGGGAGGGGGAGTTGAAAGCCTGACTGGGCGGCTGGTTCAGAGAGGGGCTGGAAGGGGGGGCGGGGTGTGCGTTTCCTGGGGCGGCTGGAACTAATGACCACCAGCTGGGCGGCTTAAACACTGGAAATGTATTCCCTCCTGTTCTGGAGGCCAGGTGTTGGCAGACCAGTTCCTTCTTGGGAGACTGTACATGCCCCCTACTGCGTCCGCTGGCTGCCAGCACTCCTTGGCCTGTAGACGCATCCTTCTCAGCCTCCTTAGTCGCGTGGCCTCCTCTGTGCCTCTCCTCTTCTTGTAAGGACACCAGCCATTGGATCCAGGGTCAGCCTGCTCCCGTGTGACCTCATCTTAACTAAGGACACAAAGATCCTCTTTCCAATAGGGTCACATCCTGAGGTCCCAGATGGCCCTGAATTTGGGGGGAAGCACTAGTCCACCATCTGCAGATGTGGAGACAGCGAATCTAGACCATTCCCACAAGACCTTCTCCTTCTTATGCCACTGCCTGGAGGGAGGTGAAACAGCCCGGTGCTCAGAGGGTGGGGTGCCCATCAGGTGAGGTCACAGGGTGCCTGAGTCCCCTGCCCAGAAGGGTTGCTTTACCTCCCAAGGCAGCTGAGGAAGGAGGAATGTCGCAGCCAGATTGGATCTGTGGTCCCCCAGGGAGCAGGGTGTGCCAGGGAGAAGCTCTGGTCAGGCCTGGACTGGGCTTTGCTCTCAAAGCCGTGGAGGTGGTCCTTCCTGATCCAGTACTGCTCCCTGGGACACCTGGGAACTCATCCACACCCCCCCTTCCCCGCCTCACCCCTCCCAGCCGCCAGGTCCTCACCCCAGCAGGGAGCAGCTATGTGCAGAGCAGGTGGGCCAAAGTCTCCGCGTGCGCACCCTCCCCTGCACACACCATGCGGACCCTCCCCAAAAGAGTCGCCGCCCTGCGCTGGGCCGAAGGCAGCACATTATCAGTGTGTCCCTGTGTGACCTTCCCCACCCCCATCCAGGCAGCTCTGACCGCAGGCCGCTGGCTCTGACTCCTCCTCGGGGCTCGAGACCTCCAGGGCTGAGGTTGCAACCAGAGGGGCTGGGTGTCACTTGCTCTCTCCTGGGAAGAGGGGTGGAGATGGCCATGGTGGTGGGGCGACAGCCCTGCTCTGGCCCAGCACTTCCTGCCACCCTCCCTGCAGAGGCAGAAGGAGAAGGCCTATTTGCAAGCAGCAGACCACTGTCACCCAAGGGGGAGTCCCTGGCCTGGAGTCCCCTCTGCCCCCCTGGGAGCAGACGCCTCCACTACGGAGGCATTTCCCGTGAGTTAGACACTTTCAGGTTCTCCCTTTTGCGTCTCCCAGGTCAGCGTGGTGCGGTTTGGTGTGATTGTCGGTTCAGCCGGGTCTCAGCTCATTTCTCCGGGAGCCTTTCGCCTGGGGACCTCCTCCTGTTTCCTCCTGGTGCTCGCCCGATGGGGGGCCCTTCCTGCACCCCCATTCCAGCTGGGTCTAGGGACGATCCTCTCTGGGGGGGACTGACCACCCCGCCCTGCAGGGGCTTCTTCTGGGGGAAAAGCCGGTGAGGGACAGGGATGCTCCAGACGCCCTGCCTCCCCAGGGACAGTGGGCTCTCAGAGTCGAGGGGCCGGGGCCCAGGGTGCCCACGTTACCTGGCCAGGTGCCAGGCGTCCTCCCCAGTTGGCAACGACGAGGGGTTCGTGTTGCGTTTTGCTGCTTTTCTGTAAGAACTGCATGTAAGGGGATGTGCACACATATCCCGGGAGGGCAGTCCCACCAGGGCGTTCTAGAATCCATCTCACGGAGCATTTTCCCGGCTGCTGCTGCTGGCAGGAGTGAGGCCAGGCCCGTGACGAAGCGGAGAAGGTGAGGGTGGGGATGTTGCCGAATCCGGGCACTTCCAAAGCTCATTCATTTAGCCATGAGCCAGACACAGCGTGGGCTCTGGGGCGCGAGTTGTGTTGCAATGTCCGAGGACTTGGAGAGCCGTGGGCTGCGATGTGGGGCCGAGCGTGGTCCCACAGGCCCCCAGGTAACCGCTTCTCCGAGAAACGCGGAAGTTGGCACATGGACGCCCCAGTTCCTCAACCTTCTGCTCCCGTAAATAGCGCCTGATTCACTTCCTGATTCCTGAGCTGCGTCCTGGCACCCGCCCCCCTCTCATTCATATAAACTATGCAAATGAGCGAGCCGCCCATTTCCGGAGATGGCACAGTGGCCAGGACCCACCAATAGCTCTGCCTCCTCTGTTGGGAACTTCCCCGGTGGAACCCAGTGGGCACCCAGCTTTGTGGGTGGAGCTGGGTACAGAGCCAACAGCCCCCAGGGAGAAGTATTGGGGGTGGGGGGCTTCTTGGGTCCTGTTAGCAACCAACCAAGACCCATGAGACAGACGTTTTCCATAGCACAGTGCCCACGTCTGTTTCGGTGGCTGGCGCATTCTCGGCCTTTGAAAAGCAACCAGACCATGCCCCGTGCCTCACTGTTTGTCTCCTTCCTGCGAGATCGGTCGGGGAGGGTGACCTCTGTGTGTACTTGAGGCCCTGGGACTAGCCCCATGCATGGGACGCCTGGGTGATGGGTCCTATTTTCAGCTCATAACGCATCCCAGCAGCCGTCAGCTGCCACTCCTGCAGCCCATCGTGGAAGAGGTGGCATGTCTGAAGGACACTCGCTTCTGGTCACACGAACCCTCCCCAACTGGGCTATTCAGTGTGGCCCAAAGGTGGTCAGGCAGGGGAATCACCCCCGCCCCCCCCCCACACACACACCCCCCGCACAGCTGCTTTTGGAGGGAGCCGGCGGGCCTTGCCCCTTTGGGTGAGCTGCAAAGAGCTGCTGGGAGCTTTCACTTCACGTTGGTGCAGAGAGAGCCGCACTTCACCAGTAGAGTTTCATGGGCTGGTGTATTTCCACCTTCTAGCCTTTGGCTCTCAGACCTGGGGCCCCGGCTCTCACCTCCCCGAACCTGCTTCCCCATCTGTCGGATGGGGACCACAGCCCCACCCGGCACCTGCCAGGAGCCCCACAGCCTCGGCTGCCACTGGTGCTGTGATGATAACCACCCGAAATAGGGCAGCTGGAGGCCCACTGTGTACAAGTGTCTCTTCGTAAGGGGATAGTGAGTTGACCTGACACGCACTAATCCACGAGAGTGTGATGGGAGCTCCCTCCCGGGCCTCACTCCACAGCCCGGCAGGGCTCTCGGTACCTCATCATGTGCCTTCGGCCACCAGGGCAAGCCCCTCTGCTCCCCGTGGGGGCTGAGCCACGTCATGAGGAGGAGGGACTGGGGAAGAGGGAAGAGAGCCCCTGGGTGGAGCAGAGGAAGCGCCTCCCAACTCCCCCACTCGGCCCAGTGGAAGGGCCGCTCCCCAACAGCAGGTCCAGGCCGAGAGCTGCTGTTTCTGGCCTTCGGGACCTCAGCTGGATGGGACTTTGGGGACCATCTGGTCCGATTCTGTATCTTAACAGATGGGGAAACTGAGGCCCGGGCAGAGGCGTGATCTGCTGTGCAGGGCACAAGTGAGGAGCCAGATCTGGGGTCGCCTGGGCCAGGATGCTTTATGGTGAGGGACACCCAAGGCTCTGCAAGTAGGAAGGGGGAGAAACCCGGCCCTGCTCACCTGGAGTCTGTGGAACCCTTGACCTTCAAAGGTCGTTTGGTTCATCCTCCGGCCACCAGGAGAGGCCTGGGGTCAGAGTACTCCATGGAAAGCATTTACTACTTCAGTTCCTTCTCCTGTGACGGCCCATGGGCGACGGAAAGCAGTTGTTTGTCTTCTTTTAAAGCCTGGAATTTAGTAAATGCATGATCAATCATTTATTTTTTGTTAACAGATTTGTTGAGATGTAATTCACGCGCCATACCTTCACCGACTTAAAGTGGACGACTCGGTGGCCTCTAGCCTATCCACGGCTGTGCAGCTGTCGCCACAATAGACTTTAGAACCTGTTCGTCACCCCAAGAGAAACCCACGGCCATTAGCAGCCACTCCCCACCTACCCCGACACCCTCAGGCGTAGGAGTTTGTAATGTTACTTTTAATATTCTGAGACGCAGTGGTGAATATTGAAGAACGTTAACCCATTCTGTGTTGGTGGAATGGGCTCCCAAGGGAGATGCAGGGGTTTCTCTGGGTTTTGGGGTTCTGATCTGTGCTTTGCTCACAAAGGGGTCTCAGAGCCAAGGGGCGCCTGTGGGTGGAGCCACAGATCCGTTCGCGTCCGCTCTTTCTCTGTCCAAACACTGTGCCCGCCTGGCCCTACTTTTAGGGACGAGGGCAGGGAAGGTCACCTTAGGAGAAGGGTGAACAGGGCCTCGGGCCTGGGAGGGAAGGACTTGCTGGTTCCTTCTGAGGCTGAAAGTGTGTCTGCGCCGCTGGCCGCACGGAACCACCCTGGCAGGAAGACAGGGCCGGGCCCTCAGGGACACAAGGACACAGCCGCCCTTACAGGCTACAGCTAGAGGCCTCTTTCCAATCCAGGTGCCCAGCCTGTGACCTTGACCTCTGACCTCTGTGCCTCAGTGCCCCCAGCTGTGAAATGCAGCTGGGAACAGTACCCGTGAGCAGTTGGGGTCTCACAAGATAATTCCCTGCCCGGAAGCTTGCGTGCGGTCGGGTGCGGTGGCGGCGGCTGCTTGCCCTTGTGTGAGAGCGGTGGCCGCCTGGGTTGGCATCCCAGCTTCCTGTCCTCCTCTCAGCGTGGCCCTGGGCGTCATCTGGCCTCTACCCCTCCGTTCCCTCATCTGCCTGTGATCAGGAAATCATGGTCACCCAGGTGGTGGGGGTGGAACTCGTGTTTGCAGAGAGCGTGCGAAGGCACCTGGCCCAGCGTGGGTTCTGTGTTCGGGAGGAATGATGACTTTAAAATGAAAATTATCCGTTGAGTGTGCAAACGAATAGGAATGATACCCACCTGTGGCTAGTGTTTGTCCAGAGCCGAGCTAACCTCTCTCTCTCTCTCTCTCTCTCTCTCTCTCTCTCTCTCTCTCTCTCTCTCCCCCCCCCCGCAGCCGAGCCGCTGCCACTCATGGATCTCTGCCGACGCTCGGTGCGCCTGGCCCTGGGGAAGGAGCGTCTGGGCGAGATCCACACGCTGCCGCTGCCCGCCTCCCTCAAGGCCTACCTCCTCTACCAGTGACGTCCGCCAGGACCCGCACGACAGCCACCGCTGCCAGCCGCCGAGCCGCCCGCGGACCCTGCGCCTGGGACAGGCGTCCGCAGCCATGGGAGGAAGGCCCTGCTCCTCCTCCTCCTCTTCCTGCAGCCCTTCGGGACACCGACGCGGACAGCTCTGGACACAGGCTCCTCTGGCCCCTTCCCTGCGTTGGCGGAAGGCCCCTGCATGCCAGTCACAGCCCCTCCTTGGAAAAAGACACAGAAAGGCCCCCCAGGACGCCCGGCACTGAGCTCCCGTCTGCTCTCGGGGTGCCCTGGGGAGCCCCCACCTGCCGGGTCCCATGGTGGGGCCTGCAAGAGGCGCCCGGCACCGAGAGCAGGCCCAGGGGTGCTAAGAGGTGCTCAGACGGCTTGTGCCGGGGACCAAGCTCAGGACGTCAGAAACACACCGGGACGAGGCAGCAGCCAGGAGGGACCGGCCACCCCGGGCACACAAGGCTCAGCTTCAGTCCCGCTGCCGGTGCCCCGGACCCTGTATTTATTCTCTTAACAGTCACAGAAGCCATTTATTTATTCCATTTAGAAAGGGACCTGGCTCCGGTCACCTCGCCGGAGGGTGCTCTTGCTTTCCTCCCACCTGCCACTCCCGGCCTGCCTGTGCCTCGCCTGCCCTCGCCGGGCTGTCTGCGGCGTGTCCCCACGTGGGCACAGGTGTCTTTGTTCGGGTCCCTTGGCCTACAGTTCCCAGGGGGCTCTGCTCTGAGTTCCCAGCGGTAGGAGTAACTTGGGGGTCACGGCTCCACAGCGGCGGCGGCTCCCGCGCCTCCATGCCGTTACTGACACTGGGGCTCCCGCACCTTCGCATGCGGTTTATTTCCGTGTCTTCCACAGGCTGTGGGTGTGGGTTTGGCTTGGCTTTTGCCTTCCTCGCTGAGATGTCCCACGTGCATCCTCATAAGCTCCAGCTTCCCACGGGACGACCGAACCCAGAAGGGAGGAGGAGTGGGTCTCTGTCCCCGAGGAGCTCAGAGCAGGCTGGGGCACGGGACACTAGAGGCGTCACGCCTCACGGAAGCCCACTCGCGTCTCCGCCTAGTGCCTAGTTCATCACGACCCCCCAGGGCCAGAGGGGTGGGGCGGGGCGGGGCAGCCAGCAGGAGAGGGCCCCCCTCCCTGCCACAGCCCCCCCACGTAGCAGACCCCAGCCCCTGCCACCACGTTTGCCATTTCTTTATCTCGACGTCGACTCCGTTCGTTTCTGTACAGGTACAATAGATGACTTTATTTGTTTAAAATGTTTAATATATATGCATATATATTTGTCCGTAAGAATTATGTTTTAAACAGCTGCTGTAGGGTACCTTTAAAAACAAACAAAACAAGAGAAGTCTTCCAGTGGAATATATTTTTTAAAGCACAACATTGGTGCCAAGACTGGGCGAGGAATGTAGATTGCCCCTTATTATTGTGAGGCTGTTGTTTCAGGCCGGGGAGCCTTACCTGTAAGACTTTTGAAGATCTGCCTCCTGTTTCAGGGTGGGTCCCGCTCTGATGAATGTTGCACATGAGAGAGTTTCACTCGCACAGCCCCAGCCTTTCCGCCTCACCCAGCGCCTCCCGCCGCCGCTGGACGCTTGCAGGCCTCTGTCGTCTCTGCACCCCCCGCCCCCAGCGTCCCCCTCAAGCCCACCCTTCTCCCCCTCAGCCCAGAGCCCTGTGGCCTGTACAGTCCTGAAACTCCCATTCTATTTTATGATGGTTGATAATAGTCACCTAATAAAGGAAAGTTTATTAAAATACGAAGCCACTTTTGAGTCCCTCTTTGTGCCTTAGGGGAGGGGAAAGAGGTGTGGCCAACCCCCTTGGGGCTAGCCAGCTCCATGGGCCACAGTTGTCAGCAGATAATGAGGGGATTGCCGCCCCCCCACCCCATCCCCCTCGTCAGATGCCAGCCAGAGCCCCAGAAGAGCAGGAGGACCCTGGATGGGTGATCCCAGAATGCCCCCATCTCTTTTCGCGCCCCAGACTGCGGGCCTTGCTGACCTAACAGGAAGGATTGTATGCGTCACGGGGAGCCTGGGGCTGGTCCCTGTGCTGTGAAGCTTGAGGTGACAGTGGGCTTTTAGGAGCAGGTGTGAGTGTCCTTGGAGTCCAGGCTCACGGGCAGTCGGTGGAAAGAGCTGGTCATTCATTCATCTTTGGGTCTGTCCCCAGGGCCAGGCACAGTGATGCTCGGGCCACCGCCATGGGCAGGGTCCTCACACCCAGCCCCCAGCCGAGAACACGGAAAGGCTGACTTATTGGGAGGATCGGTGAGTGATCAAGAGAACAGTTGAGAAATGATCACATGTCATGACTAGTTTCCAAAGAATTAACCAGGGTGCAGCCAGCTCCCCGTGGGCACTTTTCATTCTCGAGGCATGTCAGGGTCCGCTGGGCTGGGAAGTGTGCTGGCCCGACAGCCGAGCCCCCGGAGACCAGAGTGCTGTGTCCCTCTCTGAGAGCCCCCTGGCCCGCTCTCCCCAGCCCACCTGCGCCAGCAGCACCCGGGAGGTGTTTGTGAAAATGCATGTCTCCAGGCCCCGCCTGAGCCTGACCGAATCCCCATTCCTGGGGCCAGGCCCAGGAATTTGCTGTTTTCTCAAACTCCCCGAGTGACCTTGCCCGGGTCGGAAGCCCACGGGGACTGTGTCAGCTCTTTCTCTCAGAAAGTTGCTGGGTACAGGGGAATTCTTTCGGCGTGTTGGTGGGTTGGCCCGGCGACAAGCACACGGCCTCCTGAGTCAGACCTGGGTTCAGATGTTGGTTCTGACCCTCGCGAGCTGTGTGATCTTGGGTGAGCCTCCCTGAGGGACTGTCATCCCGGGCCCATCTCCTCGGAGGGGAGCCGGGGTGAAATGAGGTTTTAGAGCCGGCCGGGCGGGCACCCTAGCCAGCGTGCAAACACACGCCTTCAGAGCCACGCACTGCTTTCTGTCCTGGAAAACGGCAGTTCCGGGCCTGGAATTGGCCTTGGAGAAGGGACCTGACGCTCCTAAACCGACTTCCTGATAAATGCGCTTTCTTCCCGGGTACAGTCCCCAAACATCACGGCGGGTGTTGGGAAAGGGACCCCGAGATGCCTTCCGCAGACATGTTGGGAGGAAAGGGGGGTCTGACATTATTTTTAGGTTGGAGTTCACGTCTGGGTTGCGTTTGGAGCTCTGGCTGGCTTGGACGGGGCGGCCGGGGGAGGCGTGGGGTCAGGCGGTGGGAGCGGGGCGGGCGTCGGGAGCACAGGGAAAAGGAGGGCCTTTGTGTGGCCTGGAGACTTCGGGGGGGGGGGGGGGTGCGCGGGTGGCCAGGCTTTCGCGTTGAAGGGAGCGGTCTTCATAAAACCATCCAGCAGTCCGGCCCATGTGGATGTAATTAATAGCCTGCCCTCCAGCAGGTAGCGAGCGGCCTCTCGGGCTTGGCCCTCAATGGGAAGGGCCCTCCCTCCTCCCTCCTCCCTCCTCCCTCCCGTCCATGTCCATCTCCTGCACTGGGCTTCCTCCGCCCTTCCTCCCGCCCCTCGCTCCTCTCCTCGGTGAGATGAGGAATGTGGACTTTACTGAACCATAAAGTATGCCGGGGGAGCCGGGAGGGGCCGAGGACAGAGCAATTAGTTCATGCTGCAGCCCAGACACCCAAGCCTGGTTGGAGCCCAGCTGCAAGGAATATTTGAAATAAATGAGCTGCCCGGGGCCAGGCGTTTGCTGTGTTTTCGGGACGGGGCCATGGCAACCGGGGAGGAAATCATGAGCTAGGGACTGGGCTCTAGAATCAACAAATGATGTCCTGGCCGAGCGAGCCCAGAGGAAGCCGCTCACGGCTCTCCGGGGGCTCCTGGGGCTCAGCTGCTGGCGGCACCGGCCAGCCCGGTGTCCTCGGCGCAATCCCGTCCAGCTCGGGCCTCGGTGTCCTCGGCAGGGCTCTGAGATCTTTTTCTTTTCTTCTATTTTTCTTTTCTTTTCTTTTTCTTTCTTTCTTTCTTTTTTTTTTTTTTTTAAAGAGAAACACTTTAGAAAAACGACGTCTCAGAACCTTTCTTCCCAGGCTGCTGGCCTGGTGATGAGTTTCCTGGGCAGAGGGGCGCTCCCCGTGGGAAAGCCTGGACTGAGGGCAGCGGGCCCCGGGGAAGGGGCTCTGACCTTGCCCGGGGCCTTCCCACCGGCCCAGCTGCACCCCCTCCCTGGTCTGCTCTAGAGGCAGGAAAGCAAGGCCACACTGTCCCTCCCCTGACTCCTCTGTGGGTGACCTCACAGCGTCCCGAAGAAAGCCCTAGAGAAGCACACAAGTCACAGGACCGAGTTTGGGGGCTTTCTCTTGAACTTCACAAGCACCTCCCCCATCACCAGGGACCTTGGGGGGGAAAAGCAAAAATCGCAGAAGCTCGGATGCAGGAGTGGGGCCCGGGACTCTGCACTGTGAGGTGTCCGTTCTGATGCTGACATGTTGGGTGGGTTTATGTGCAGAGCTGTACCCATGCAGACCCCTTGCTGATCCTGTTTCCTCTGGAGGCCGCAGCGGGCTGTGGTTCAGGAGGCTTAGGGACCCCTGGGTGACGGTCAGCTCTGTGGGCTCTGGGCTCAGAGCACGTGCAAAGGCCCGGGGCTGCGACGCCGCATCTTCCCAGGCCCCGACGTGCTTGTCTTTGAGGGAAAACTCAAGGGGGAATACTGGGAGCCCGGAAACAGCTCGGGCTCCTCCCCGGCCCTGGGTTTCCCCAGGAAGCGAGTCCTGGCGGCTGAACCAGGAGCTCAGAGTCTCGGAGCCACTGCTCCAGTGCCGTCCAGCCTGGCCGTCCACTCAGAGCTGCTCACGGGTGTCTCCCACGGCAGCACCACCCCAGGACCGCGTTGCTCCCCAGTCACATCTCCCCTGTCTCTTCACAGACGTCCCATTCTCCCTCCCACCTGCACCTCTGGGCCCCACCTTCTGAAGATTTTTCAATGAAAGCACGTCTGCGAAGGTCCTTCCCGGCGATCTCTGTCAAGCAGAGCGGCCAGCGGAGCTGCAGGCGACCACAGGGTTGTCGATGACCCCAGGTGGAATGAACTCCAGCCAAACTGCAAAGCCCCTCACCTTACAGCTGGTCCCTGCGCTGGGGCTGCGTGAGGGGAGAAGAGCCGAAGAGCCGTGTGGCCTTGCCCAGTCTCTCTGACCCCCCAATTTCCACTTTGTGTTTGTTTCCTGTGGCTGCCACAATGAATTACCACCTACTGGCTGGCTTAATACAACACACATTGAAATCCTTGCAGTTCTGAAGCCAGAAGTCCGAACACAGAGCCCGGCTCCCTCCTGGGGCTCTAAGGGATTCCTTCCTGCCTGCGGCTCCCTGTCGGCCTTAGAGGGACCATTGTCATGGATTAGGGACCCCTGGATTATCCAGGATGAAGTCATCTGAAGGTCCTTAAGTCAGTGACATCTGCTAAGACCCTCTTTCAAATAAGATCACATCCAGCCCGGCCAGCGTGGCTCAGGGGTTGAGCGTCGACCTATGAACCAGGCGGTCACGGTTCAATTTCCGGTCAGGGCACGTGCCCGCGTTGCGGGCTCCATCCCCAGTGTGGGGCATGCAGGAGGCAGCTGATCCATGATTCTCTCTCATCGTTAATGATTCTGTCTCTGCCTCCCTCTCCATCCTCTCTGAAATCAATAAAAAATATATATTTTACAGCTGGCTTTAAAAAAAGGTGACATTCACAGGGCCCAGGGTCAGCAGATGGACATTCCTCTCTGAGGGCCACCATTCAACCCTCCACACGCCTTTAGAACCAGGACTGAAACAGTACCCACTGGTGGGATGACCGTGAGGGTTTATGGAACAATGAGAGCGGGAAACGGCCCAGGGCCAGGCTTGTCCGGGGTGGGGGCGCTGCCGAAAAGGCAAGTCTCCCCATCGTTATCGCCTCCCTCCTGCCCCTGCCCTTGGCGGCAGGCCCCCGAGAGCAGATCTGCTGTAGAATAGATGGGCATTCTTCTAGGGCAGTGATGGCGAACGTTTTGAGCTCGGCGTGTCAGCATTTTGAAAAACCCTAACTTAACTCTGGTGCCGTGTCACATAGAGAAATTTTTTGATATTTGATAGTGAAACAAAGACTTATAGTTTTGATATTTATTTTATATATTTAAATGCCATTTAACAAAGAAAAATCAACCAAAAAAATGAGTTCGCATGTCACCTCTGACGCGTGCGTCATAGGTTCGCCATCACTGTTCTAGGGGGTGGGTGCCCAGGTTGTGCATGGAATCCACAGGCTCAGGCTCAGGCCAGGATGTGGAGAGAACTTGAAACCTGTCAGTGGGCAGAGACTTGGCCTCCCTCTCCCTTTCTGGGTGTCCCTCCGACCAGCCACAGTGAGT